TCGAAAAAGAAAACCACAATGTTTTTTGCGGTACAGATTTGTGTGCAACTTTTTAATATCATTGTCTTCATTTACTTCTGCCCTAATCATACAAACCAAATACAAATGTCTTTCTATTGATATAACCTTGCAAAGAAGATACACAGTAAAAAGAAAAATATCAAAAAATTCAAAAAGACAATAAAATTAAACATTTTGAAGGGTTTTCAACACCAAAGAATGAAAAATAAATCAAAAAGTAAAAATACACAGGCAAAGTTATGCCAGTAAAAAAAGTCATTTTGAACAGAAGTCAATGGGACAAAAATCTACCGAAGGACCACAGGTGTGACTATTTTGATTCTAGACTGTTCAGTTAATGTGATCTTGAAATAAAACACAGAAATTAAAAATACATCACAAAATACACAAACTGGCCAATTTTGCTATTTGGTGTAATACAGCCAAAATTATGCAAAAAAGAAAAGTTGAGATGTACAAAAATGTACCTAAAGGGTGTTGGAGGTTTAAAAGTACACTATGTAACTTTTCTGGTGAACGGTCTGTCACCTGGCGTTTTCATGACTTTCTGATGAATATTCCACAATATGGCATTACACTTATTTACACGAGGGTCAGGAGAGTTACAGGAGAGGCAAGTCCACTCACCGAAAGACATTTGTGAAATGTGTAGTTGAATAAATGCTAAAGTTTAATGCCATATTGTTGAACATTCCTGGTTAAACAATAGAAAAAATGGATTGCTCTACCAGAAAAGTTACACAGTGCACCTTTAAAAATCACAGACCTTCACTAGAATCATTTGGTTCTTTTCAGCCTTGGAATTGCCAAGGATAGAAAGTAGCTGTTTACTCGAAAAGGTCTGTTTGTGATGAGAAAACAAAGTTCTAACTAAGTTATAATGTTGTTTCCTCATCAAAAACATATCTGGAGTTTTGTTTTGTTCAATTCACACATGTTTAGTACACAAGAACAAATGAAAAACACTGTTCCACCTTGTGATGTCATGTGGTCATACAGGAAGTGCTCCAATATATTTTTAATCTCTATACTAGAGATCGACTGATGTGTTTTTTTCATAGTTGATGCTGATGCCAGTTGTTAAGAATCCATAGAAATCGATGACTAATAAACTCTACTGATGCAAGTATTCAGTCAAAGCTTTATATCGGTCAACCAAAATATCGGCCAATCTTTATTCCACACACCTTCACTAGAATCACTGGGATTATTTTAACACTAGAATTTCCAATTTCTACTAAACTAAAGGTAAGAAGGTAGCTGTTAACTTGAAAACTACCGCTTCATGACATCACAAGGTGGAACGGCGCATTTTACGCTTTGGAGATGTAGACAAACTAATAATAAAGGGTTACTCAAACATGTGAATGAAACAAAACAACTCCAGCTCTGTTTTTGATGTGGAAACAACCTTCGAACATGGTTTCAAAGGCCCATATTACACTATTTTCTGATCTGTTATAATGTTGTTTCTTCATCATTAAACATAAGAGTTATGTTTTGTTTCATTTACTCACAAACTCATATTTAGTCTGAGTTCTTCACTCAAACCAAAAACACTCTGTTCCACCTTGTGATGTCATGTGGTCATACAGGAAGTGCTCAAGTGTGCTTTTAAACTGATTTCGGGCAGCAGTAGCTCAGTTGATAGAGCGTTTGTCCACTGATCTGAATGGTTGAATGGTCAGATCCACTCACCCACAGGTTGGCGATGCAATTCCAGCTCCCACAGATGAATGCCGTCGTTGTGTCCTTGGGCAAGACACTTAACCCACCTTGTCTGCGTACGCTGGTGCATGAATGTGTGTGTGAATGGGTGAGTAGTTCCTTGTTGGTGGAAAAGTGCTGAATAAAAATGTGATCATGACTATTTGTGAACATTCCAGCTCAGGAATTTCCCATCTCTACTTGAACACTACCCCTTCATGACATCACAAGTTGAAACGGTGCACTATGAGCTTTGGAGATGTAAACAGACTAACAATAATAAAGGATTAGTCAAACGTGTGTGAATGAAACAAAACACAACTCTAGGTGTGTTTTTGATGATGCAACAACATTCTAACATGACTTAAAGCTCACATGAGTCCATTTTGCGTAACATAGACCCTTTAAATAGCAAGAAAACCAACATAACGGCCCACAGGAGAAACTTGGAACCTCCTGCTGTAATGTGGAAAACTAATGCGGTTTAATTTTGTTTTCTTTTATCTTCAAGTTACCATCTGGAATAGCATATGCAAATGGATATGTGTGTCCCCTAAGAGAAAAAATACAGCTACTTTAATGGTGTAAACTGCATTTGCATCTCCTTTCATCTAGTAAATGTGCCCTAATGCGTCCACTCGGCTTTACTTTTTCATCAGAGCATCATTTTCCATCATCTTTCAGGAAGAGAAACAGGAGACTTTTCACTTCTGGAACGCAGTGTTCTGAAGTCAGTTTGGGTTGCTTTATCTGAGTGATCATGGCGTCATTTAGAAGTATAGACGAGGAGTAGAAGTGTTAAAGTTATGATGAGTTTTTGGAATTTTGATGATGCACAAGGATATTTAAAGTCCTATATTGTGCAAAATTTACTCTGAAATGAAGGGCTGAAATGATCCATATGATTCTAGTGAAGTTTCAAAGCACAGTGAAGCACTTCCTGCATGACCACATGACATCACAAGGATCAGAGTGTTTACTATTTGAGAGAAGAACTCTAAATTAGCAGGAATAAACACGTGTGAATGAAACAAAACACAACTCCAGGTCTGTTTATGATGAGGAAACTCTAGTGATGGGCAAATGAGACGGATCTCAGGAGCACGTCTCGTTCTTTCTGAAACAAATTGCTCTGAAGCACTGCCTCGGAGCTCGTCTCGCAGCAGCCGCTCACGTGACCAAAGTGTCCAAGTGTCGGTCCCTCCCCCTACTGCTTCGCTCTGCGTGTCAATCGCTTCAGTGTATCGAAGCTTTTCATTGGCTCAGCGAATGTTCCGCTCTGCGATTGGTTCAGAGTGCTTCAGAGTGTTCAGCGCACTTCTGTGGTTTAACGAGCGCTAAACTGCTACTGTATAAAAGACGCACCAATATTTCTTACAAATGTTGGGTAGTGAGGAGTATTGTGTGACGTTAGTGGTGATTTTGGCGACTTTTGGCATTTGTTTCATTTTCGATGGCATCTACAAGTGGAAAAAAGCGATCCATGGTTTGGGATCACTTTGATCTAATTCCACCTAACAAGGTCACACCTATTCTCTTATTTAGGCAAGGCAAGTTTATTTGTATAGCACAATTCGTACACAAAGTAATTCAAAGTGCTTTACAGAATAAGAAATACATTAAAATCATAATAAAAACAAATCAAAACATAAATAATCATAAAGATTAAAATTAAAAAAGAGAGACATAGCATTTACAGCAGCTATTTATGTTGCTCTTTACATATTATTTTAAATCATCATTATTATTGTTGTTGTTAGTTAATAAGTTGTTAATAAGTATTGTCTTATTGTTAAATTTGTCCACTAGAGGTCAGTGTTTCTCCGAGGCCTCAGACACGTCGAACCATTTGAGACAATATTGCGACTGAGGTGTGAATGCTTCACGAGGCTCCATTCACCCGTCACTAGGAAACTCCATTCTAACATAGATCATAAAATAGCACAATATGGGCCCTTGAGTAGTGATGACATGATATAAAGAAATGCAATATTTATCTAAAAAGAATGAATACACTACAATGGTACTATTTCCTCTAACTGTTGTATATTGTGAAAGAAATGGTTTTGCAGCATTAGGGATATTGTGGTTATGATATTAAATAAGTCTCTGTTTTGTGTTGGGATTCTGTCACTGCTCACAGGTATTATCATCAGCAACCAATATAAACAACTATTCAGATGTTCAAATCTGGATTTTGTTGAGGGCCATGGACTGTGAGCTGGATGGGTGCTGGACGCTCTATTACATTTATGTGAAAAATAAAATACAAAAAGCTTTACCAACATTGTTCTGCCAAATAGCCAATCCTGCACTGAGCCAGAATAAAGCAGTTAACAAAGGGAGAAATATGCTTTTAGTATTGGAGAAAGTGGCCTTGGCCCTTGGGCTGTTGAATAGGTCTGGCACGTTGTAAAAGCAGAGCTTAATTACAAAATCAGACTGTTGTATACAGTCAATACTGAATTATGAAACATTTTATTGACCATGAACCCAGAAGAAAAAGTTTCTCTGCATTAGGGCTATTGCGAATATGATAACACATACTTCTGTTTGTTTAAAAAGCATCATATTTCTGTTCTGATTGTGTGGCTGTGACAGGTTTTCTTATGAGGAGATAAACAGTGTGTGTGAAACATGTCTAACCTATCATTTTCACCTGTGTCCAACAGAACGTGCAGGCCTCACACGCTGTGCACTGCCCACTATTGGATGAGAGTGCAGACGGCTCCTTGATTACAGACTGTGGTGCAAATTGATGTTTACACAAACACACAGATTGCTTTTTCCATCGTGTTCTATGATTCTTTTGTAATGGCTCAATACTGGTTATCTTCCTCAGTCAGATGAATTCTCTGTGTGTTCACCGACTTACATCATCCTCTTCAACCTTTCACACTGAGAAAAACATCCTTTTTTTGTTTTTGTTTTTTTTTCCATACATGGAACAAGTTTGAACTTAAGACCTCACCAACTCAAGTGTGGTTGTGTAACATTGCAACAAGTGACATAACTTCCCCTCCTTATAAGCCTTTCTTTTTGGTTTCTGTCCAAACTGACATATTTTAAGTGTACTTGTTTCCTGCACAGCGTGAACCCAACCTCTCCAAAACTCGACACAAGTTCTCGCTCCTGTTTTTGCTCCTGTACAGCTTTCTTTACTGTGCTCCTGCCTGTGCCTGCCTGTGCTCCTGCCTGTGCCCCTGCCTGTGCCCCTGCCTGTGCCCCTGCCTGTGCACCTGCCTGTTCTCCTGTTGTAGTGTGTGACTCACCTGGCCACAGCAGTGAAGGCCAGCTCCACGTTGAGTCCAGATTTAGCACTCGTCTCCATGAAGGGCACTCCAAACTCCTGCACACACACACACACACACACACACACACACAAATACATTAACACACACATACAGAAACACACACAAACATCTGTTAGAGCGGTGCAGGTGCGTGTTGGCGTCAAGGCCTGGCAACTCTTCTCTTGTGGAGAATAGAAAAGAGCGCACAGACAGACACGGTAATGTTTCAAAGGAGGAAATATAAGGAAAAAGAATGAGCATGCTTGCTGAACAACTCAAATGGATGTTTATCTGCGAATAAAAGGTAAACAAATAAATAAAAAAAAGTTCTTGGTCAGTTAAAGTCATGTCCTGTCAATTGTTTAGTCGACTAAAAAGGTGGTGCAACAAAAGCTCTCAAAACTATCGCTTATCTCTATGCATCTGGTACAAATTATAGTGTAAATAACATAAAAAAAGATACATGGACTAATACACACTTTGACAACTAATAAATAAATAAATTAATCTTTAATTAACTAAAGCCCTACAGCACTACTGCACAACTTTGGTTAAAACACACAAAAACAGCATAGGTAGTTTTACTTTGTACATTAATGCTATAAAGTAAAGTCCCTATAAACTATTTCAAATGCATAACAGAACATTTTCAATTAGCCTAAGGTTAAACCAATGAAGCTTTTAAGATGCTGAATACCACAATAAAGTGTTCATTTAAAGGTATTCTGACAGTATGAAAAAAACTAAACAAAACAGTAGTGACCCAGCAGCTTATTGAGATGATCTTTTTAACTTTTGAATCACATCTCTCTAACTTTAGCACGTCTGGCCACAAATGTAAAGATTTGGACGTCCCAAGCACGATGGGAGATCTCTTTGACTTAAAGGTCCCATATTACCAGGGATGTAGCGATATCAAAATTTCTCAATTCAATATTTTCACGATAAGCACCTCTCGGTACGATATTCATTGCGACATTTAGTGGAGGTTGACTGAATTGTGAATATACTACTTTTTCCTTTAAAGATGACTTGGCAAGTCTTTAATTCTGTCATAACCCAAAGAATTAAGATTTAAAAGTGCTTAATAACAGTTATTTGAGTTGGAGGATGTGTCTGGGGTGAGGGAAGTCTGGGAGTCCCTGCTTAGACTGATGCCCCCCGCGACCCGGCCCCGGATAAGAGGAAGAAAATGGATGGATGGAAATTGGACTGAAACAGAGCAAAGGATCATGGTCTATGACTATGTAATTCAATCCGTGTATTATTCATTGTTCAAAATAAAATCAAAAATAAGAAAATGTAAAAACAACAATTTTCTTCATTATTTGTCTCCAAAACCAAAGTGAAAAAAAAAAAAGGACAATGATTTATTCTTTCAGTCAATGATTCATTCTTTCAGTTTTCGATTTTGTGTTTAAATGAATAATGGAAAAAACAGATACGGACTGAACCAGGACTAAAACAAGACTAAACCAGGACTAAACCAGGTCTAAACCAGGACTGAAACAGGACTAAACCAGGACTGAACCAGGACTGAACCAGGACTAAACCAGGACTAAACCAGGTCTAAACCAGGACTAAACCAGGTCTAAACCAGGACTGGACCAGGACTGAACCAGGACTAAACCAGGTCTAAACCAGGTCTAAACCAGGACTAAACCAGGACTGAACCAGGACTGAACCAGGTCTAAACCAGGACTGAACCAGGACTGAACCAGGACTAAACCAGGACTAAACCAGGTCTAAACCAGGACTAAACCAGGACTAACCAGGACTGAACCAGGACTGAACCAGGTCTAAACCAGGACTGAACCAGGTCTAAACCAGGACTGAACCAGGTCTAAACCAGGTCTAAACCAGGACTGAACCAGGACTGAACCAGGACTAAACCAGGTCTAAACCAGGACTAAACCAGGACTGAACCAGGTCTAAACCAGGACTGAATCAGGTCTAAACCAGGACTAAACCAGGACTGAACCAAGTCTAAACCAGGTCTAAACCAGGAAGGACTAAACCAGGACTGAACCAATACTGAACCATGTCTAAACCAGGTCTAAACCAGGACTAAACGAGGACTGAACCAGGTCTAAGCCAGGACTGAACCAGGACTGTCAGGATGGGCCCGGAGGTGTGCCTGCGTAGAGGGTCTCAGGACTCAGACCAAGACCAGACCAGGACTGGGACTGAAATCAGTTTAGTCCTGGTAGCCATGATTTAGACCTGGTTCAGTCCCGGTTCAGTCCGTATGCTGCACAAAAGTCCAGCATCGCACTTTGAGTCACGGAAACGCGAAACTGACCTTATCCATTTTTTCCATTATTCATTTAAACACTTTTTTTTTTAATTTTGGTTTTAGAGACAAATAATGAAAATATATATTTTTTTTTTTTTCCTTTTCTTATTTTCCCCTGCTTTTCTTCTAGCTATTGCCGCACCATAACTATGAATTTAAGCAAAGAAACTTGAGATTTGATATACTGTGATGGCCCACGATATTACTGAGACTTTTGATGATACGATATCATCATCATCATCATCATCTATCTTCAGATCTATGTCCTAATGTTGTTTCTTCATCACAAACATATCTGGAGTAGGGATGGGCATTCGATGAAATGTTCTTAATCGATCGTCGGAAGAATTAACGATCGATTATCGATTAATCATTAACGTTTTCATATTAAAATGATCATCATTATTATTACTATCTGCACTACTAATCTGCATAAATAAATTCAACTTTACGACATATAAACCGTAACGACTCTAGAGCCACATCAGCCCGTTTGACATTATAATGTGTTTAATTCAGTTTTGCGCAACTCTCACAGAAACGAAACTTAAAACCACATCGCTAATTTGCATAAACTCAGCGAAGATAAAACTACAGCTCTTGTGTCGCTGATGTGGTTCAGTTTCTGTCGGAGATTAAAAGACATGACTCAGTGGAATACAGGTTAGTGTGACCAGATTTGCGTTTGTCAAAACCAGGACACTGTACGGGGGGAGGGAGGTGGGGACTCGTCATCGACACATTGAGCGACTCTCACCTGGCAAAACTTTTTCCCACTGGACACTGAAACATATGTGCTGCTTTATACACTGTGCACATGGACTCACACTTGTCCCGAACGCAACGGAAAGCGTGGAATTTCTTGTACAAATCATCGTTAAATACACATTTGTGCTTCGGTACGTTGCAGACTGACCAAATGTTTGTGTCTCGCTCCTTCTGAGTGCAGAGAGACACATGTACCGACCCTGTCTGGTCAAGCTACGTACAGCAACCTACATTTGGTTTAATGCTAGTATTGCACCTGTGAGCCTATAAATGTTTTGGTTAAATGGTTAAATGTTAAAAATGAGTTAAGAATAAGACTGCGCAACCTTCTGAATCCATAAGAGCCACTTGAAAAGGCTACATTTGCATCTGAGAAGAGAGACAGCCATCTTTAATGCGCTAAGTGGTACATCTAGGCATTGACAGTCATTCACGCTCAAAAGGCCTGTTTTCTAAGGGGATGTTATTTGAAATAGTTAAGCAACTGTTGGTAGATGTGAAGCGCGTGTCTGCTTATTTCTTCATGGTGTAACATAATTAGCTGGACAAAGAGCTGTGCATAGAAAACCATGATTGCAGGTGAATTAAAAACCTAACCACCCTATTATTGCAGAGTTAATGACTTTATAGAACTTTCTCTAATAGAATGTATCCCTTCAGCAGTTAGACCTGGTTTAATTATGGTTTCTATTCAAATATATCAGCGGGACAATCACGATATTTAGCAAATGTGACTTTTTTGAGGTTTTAATCACGTAATACCAATGTCCCCTTGTCAAAATCATACCTGGAGTTGTTGTTATTATTATAATTATTTTTTTTATTATTTAATTCACACGTTTCATTAATCCATTAAACCAAAGTCATCTTCTCTGAGCACTCAAGAATAAATAAAATACATTTATTTAAGTTTATATTTTGCCAAGATTGTTGCGTCGCAGGTAAAAATATGGACTTATCCTATTGTGCTTGTGTCTGCTAGAAAGTTATAATCTGTGACCGTGGTCCCCAACCTTTTTGCGTCACAGACAATAAAAGCTTTGATTGGTTTTATATCCGGCAATATTTTGCGGACTGAAGGGGGTTGGGGGGGCGTATGGGAGGAGGTGCAGTGCGTTGTCCGTGTGGCATGAAGTCCTGGCTAAATCCTGTTTTAGTTCTGGTTTAGACCTGGTTTAGTCCTGGTTTAGACCTGGTTTAGTCCTGGTTTAGACCTGGCTTAATCCTGGTTTTTGTTCTGGTTTAGACCTGGTTTAGTCCTGGTTTTTGTTCTGGTTTAGAGGAGCGGTCCGGATGGGGGGATATTCCACGCAGCGCATGGGACGGCGGGGACGGTCCACGTGGCGTATGGGGAAACAACCCATGGCCTGGTACCGGTCCCTGGCCCGGGGGTTGGGGACCCCTGATTTATGACACCCCTCAAAACTAACCATTTCACGCAATAAAAAGTTTGGGACCTAAAATAAATAGCTCCACATAATGCTAGTGTTTATTTATTTTTTCATTTGTACCAAAATGACAACATGATGTTGCCGAGTCCTGTGCATATCACAGAATAAAAAATAAAACTGAAGAACAAAGTACAGAGTAGTGGAAGTGGAAGTGATTAAAGATGCCCAAACACGCACAAATCACTCCAAATACAACTTAGGGTGAGTAAATGGCGAGGGGAAACAACTATAACATGGTAAAAAGATTTGAAAAGTTTTGCAGAATAGGTCTAAGCCCATAAACCAGCACCAGACTCGTCCTGTGGTCAGACTGTGTTCACAACTAATGCACGACTCTATTAGCACAGCTGTCATGTTGTCTGATATATTCATGAGTTTATATTGTCATTGTTCATTCATTTATATGCGTGATTGGAAATTAAGGTACAGTTTATAACATTGTTTCCCAAAGACTGGGTCGTGACCCTCAGGTGGGTTGCAAGAGTTTTTTTGGGGGGGGAGCACAACACTCATATCAAGCGCATATCACTCAGGCAAAAATAAAATATCCTCATTAATGTTCAAAAATGATCAAATCCACCTTTATTTTGTGATTTACGAATAATGTCTATTGTTTTGGGTCGCAAAGGTTTGTGACTTTTAAAATATGGGGAAAAAAAGTCTGGGAAACACTGGTTTATAAAGGGTGTTTTCCAAACGTAGACAGTATTTTAAATGACTGAACTGTCTGAAATGAAGTGTATGTATAGTGAGTGTGCTGGCATATACTCATGTACTTTTGTGTGATTGTTGCTGTACTTTTCCATTTCACATCAACCTGCCGAGGGACTGAAAATGGAAATTAGTCACGTATGTGCTGTCCCTTTACAAATAAATAAGAAAGAAATATTGTGTATGTCACTTAAATATGTCACTTATAAATGTAGCTGCTGCAGAGTCTTTAGGTTGGAACCGTAATTTTTTTTGTGAAAAGTAGGCAGATATTTAAAATTTATTGCTGGGTTACAGATGACATCACAACATTCTATTGGCCAATATTAATTAAAACAAATGTTAAAATGTAGAACTATGTTGTAACACAGTGAATTCTTGGGTTTAATCACTCATTCAAAATATCAGGATTAACATTTGTGCACTTACATTTTGGATATTTCATGGCAAAGTCTAATGTAATCAAGAGGGAAATCTGGCCCTTGCCCCCATTTTGGAGTAGCCAGGCTGACGTCACCTAGTCCCTCCGCTCAATTTTATTTCTCTCCAGGGACTAAGTCAAGAATCAGAATACACTAGACTGTTTGCAAGAACCCCGGAAGCTGTAGACCGCGCACCAGCCAATCGGCGAAGAGCTAAACCAACCTGAGTTGTGATAGCAGACTGCATAACCTATCCTCCTTTGGACTTCCTTTGTCAAATACAAACTTCACATTTTTTATTACACCTTTAAATCGCAAGTTCATCTCGCAGAAACGACAATGATCCTTGACAGACACGTTCACTCTCTGCTTTGTTTGTCTGTTTGTTTTGTTGTGCTGACCATTACTTGGACACCACTGAGTGTTCCAGCTCCTTATATAGGTCACTACCAAATAGCAGCAATTGGTTTAATAAAAAAAGTACCCACCGACCATCGAGCGAACGAATCCTAATGCTGCGAGGTCAGACGGTTTCCATGAAGTGAAACCGGCTGATTAATCAGACTAATTTTGGAGTATACCATCTGTGGTGGCTACCTCTGCCCCCAGTATAATTTCATTTCATTTACATTCAGTTAATTACATTACACATAATTTAATTCCTTTATTTAGACTTATATTCTAATTTGAGTGCACACATTTTAGTTAATATAAGTCTGATTTACTTACACTTGTTCTTTTTGGGGTTTTTTGAGCACCGGACGGAGACGGAGGACCCTTGGAAGAGACCATCGTGACTCAACAAGAAGGGGAGGATCACTATTTAGTTAGTTTTATTAAGTTAGTTTGTGTTGAGGTCACTTTATTATCACTATTTTTTGTCTTATAATTATTTCTTTTTTTGTTACTTTGATTAAGTTAGTAGTTTAGTTAATTATTTGGTGTAATTCCTCCCTCTTGTGTTCAGCTTTAGTTGGTCCTCAGGTATTTAAACACCTCTGTTTCTTTGTCTGATTGGTTTAGTTTTGTTCTGTTCAGTTTGATTTGAGTTTCCCCAATTGGGCCTGGCTTTTTTGTTAATAATTTGCCTAATTTGAGCCTTTGTTAAATTATATCTTTTTTTGACTTTATTCAATTTACACTTATTTTTATACCTTGTCTTTGGCTTTCTGTTTGGTCCACTACACCATCATCACATTCTTGAATCTGAAAACCACCCGTACTTCTGTCAGCTCCTTATCATCCACACTGACACATGTAACATTATTTTACATTATGAAATAAACAAACAAAAAAAATGACATGACATGAAGTAGACCTCTGTCACAGGATTCTAATTCTGTTTGCTCTGTCACTTCTCCTTCTGTGTCTACGACTTGACAGCTGTTGTTCTTCCCAAACGCCCGTGTTCAGATTGACTCCGAACACGCCTCTCGGAGCACATCCAAGCGAAGCGGCTTGGAAAATTGAGTTAGCAACCCTTCCTCCCCTACTCGCTCCCCCTCCGCTGTCACTTACTCCAAAAACAATAACACAACCCCCCCCCGCGCATGCATAATTACGCTGCGCTAATCAAGACAACAGCGAGGGCTCGGCGGCGCGTGCGGGAGCATCGTAAATCGGCTGCGTTTTCCGTCACTTTGCATGTAAAAGGATGTTTGCATCACCTTGGCCAGCCTCTCGCCCTCCTCCCTCTTCACGGCTCTGTGCGACGAGTCAGCCTGCAACACACAAGAATATGCTGTTATTGTGTACAGATATATGACCTTTGGGAATGCACAGGTGTGGGGTGTGTGCGTATTCTGACATGCGGCCGCTGCTTTAGACTGTTTTTCTAGTATAAAGCCATAAATAGGGTCCATTGTCAGTCCAGTGTTCCTTAGGGAGCGCTGAAAAAAGGGATATCACAGCTGTTTTCACACATTTAAAAGATGTTTTTTGAAGTAAATCCATAAATCCTAACCTCATCCTGGTCTTAACCTTAATCAGAATCTCAAAACCATGCAGGCCCCAGTCTTAAAAGGCCCATATTGTGTGATTTTCTTGTTCATGTTCTAATGTTGTTTGCTCATAAAAAAAAATAAAAAAAAACATACCTGGAGTTGTGTTTTGTTTCATTCATGTTTAACACATACATCATGAATATTTTGTCTGTATTCTTCTCTCAAATAAAAACATGCTGTTCGTCCTTGTGATGTCATATGGTAATACATGACGTGCTTCACTGTGTTTTTAAACTCCATACACCTTCACTACAAGCACTTGGATGATTTCAGACCTGAAATTGCCAGTCTCTACTGAACTAAAGTTAAAACGTGCTGTTATAAATACCACTTCATGGCATCAATACATGGAACAGAGCATTTTGAGCTTTGGAGATATATACAGATTAAAAATACAGGATTAGTCAAACATGCATGAATGAAACAAAACACAGCTCTGGTATGTTTTTGAGGAGGTCACAACATTCTAATATGACTTATAGCTCACGTGAGTTGTATCTTTAAGAAACTGCTGATATAATATACACTTCGATACATCAGCCACCATATGTATCTCGATATAGTGAGATTTTCAATTCGGTGTATTCGTTGTATTTAAATCGATGCAGTTCAATACAAAATAATGTCTAAATCATGGCTGTGATACTTAGGCTACATTCAGACTGCAGCTTGAAGTGACCCAAATCCAATTTTTTTGCCCCTATGCAACTTATATCTGATCTTTGAATGACAGTGATGGTAAACTACTATTGTAGCCACAGCTACCCTGGGGCAGACCGATGAAAGTGAGGCTGCTGATCTGTGCCATTGGTCCCTCCAACCACCACCATCACTCACGCACACTCCACTTTCATACTAGACAATGTGGGTGAAGTGTCTTGCACAACCACAGTTTTTGTGACTGCTGACCGGCACCTGATTTTCCCAGTGTCTCCCATCCAAGTACTAACCAGGCCCGGCCCTGCTTCACTTCTGAAATCTGACGGGATCAGGCTTTGACAAGTCAGTATGGCCACACACTGGCTTGTCAAATGATTGCCAAAGAAATGGCCAAGCGCGGCTACAGGTGGTCCTGGCTCTATTGTCAACAAAAAAAAAAAAGAGCCTGCGAGCCAAATACAAGGAGGCTAAAGACGCCAAGAACACTTTGTGTGCCAAGTGAATATGAAACACGCCCATTTTACTCATCAAACAAATGTCAAATGTTGTTGCATAAATGAGTGTCCTTCCACCAATCAAGCAACAAAACTGTAGCACTGTAACTAATTGCAGTAAATAATGTAAATAAGTTAGTAAAATATACCAAAAAATATTCTTGGCGATATAGCAGCCCACAATAATGATACTGTGTCATCACAATAAACAATACGATATATCGATATTTTACCCCAGTTATTGCTCAAAAAGGCCCTAAACTTAACCTGTGTTTCAGATGACATCAAAACATTCTATAGGTCAATGAAATTTAATACAATTGGGGAATAGCTAAAATTTATATTGTTAAAATGCAGATTTGTGTTGTAATGCAGCAGGTTCTTGGGTCTAGGCACTAATACAAATGATCAGGTTCAGCATTTGTGCATTTACCTTTTGGATAATTGATGGCAAAGTACACTCTATATCTCTAGACTCCCTCCTCCCTCGCTCATAAACGCACCTCACTTAACATTTTATAACTTTACAGAATACAGAAATATTATTACACCTCACCTGGAACACATTAAAACAGGAAAAATGCCAATAATATTAAAAGTCTCCTCACTTCACTGGGTAATACAGATACATGTAGTACACTGGCTTTGGAGATCATCACATTTTAGAATCTGAAAACCACCGATTGATACTTTGCAGTGACGTCATGCTGGGGAGTCCTACGTGTATCTTTAATGGTGGAATGTTCAGCAGTTACCAAGGTGACAAAACACACAATAGCAAAGACTATCAAAAAAGTTTTAAGATAGTCTGAAAACACACAGAAAAAACACAAAATGGATTTCATCAACGCATTTTCAAGAGTCTGTGATCAATACGAGCGTTCATGGTCCTGTTTAGGAGTTTGATTTTCAACAAAAAGGTGAGAGTGACTAACTGAAAAACTGTTTGTGGCTGTTATTTTATGTGTGAGCGTCTTTTTAACAGCACAAATCATCTCGCCTGTTGTAGTTCCAAACAGGTCGGCTTTTTCTGCTCAGATTGTGTTCAAATAAAGCTCACATTGAAGTCTGACTCGAGTAACAGAGCTTTCCCCAGGGAATGTTGATGTCAGTTGTATTAATTGTCAGCGAGGTTATCTTAAGAAATCTCTCCTACACAAGTCTACAGAAAAACTCACAGAACTAAAGTAAATCAGGTTAACCAATTAGGGGTTTTAAAATTCATATTTTCGTATACCTAGTGCCTCCACTCAGTTCCATTACTCTCCAGCGACTAGGTCAGGAGTCGCAATTCACTAGGTGTTTTGCAAATCCCCCGGAAGTGCAAGTATGGGCACTAGGAATGGGCATTTGATTAAATTTTCTTAATCAATTGTCGGGAGAATTAACGATTGATTATCGATTAATCATTAACGTTTTTATATTAAAATTTATCATCATTATTATTACTATCTGCACTACTAATCTGCATAAATAAATTCAACTTTAAGACATATAAACCGTAACCACTCTAGAGCCACATCAGCCTGTTTGAGATTATAATGTGTTTAATTCAGTTTCAACTCTCATAGAAACAAAACTTAAAACCACATGGCTAATTTGCATAAACTAAGCGAAGAAAAAAAAAAACAGCTCTTGTGCTCTGATGCGGTCAACTTTTGCCGGATTAAAGAACATGACTCAGTGAAATAGAGGTTAGTGTGACCATATTTGCGTTTGTCAAAACCAGGACACTGTAAGGAGGGACATTGCACTACTCTCACCTGGCAAAGCTTTTTCCCACTGGACACCGAAACATATGTGCTGCTTTGTGCACATGGCCTCACACTTGTCCTGACCGGAACGGAAAGTGTGGAATTTCTTGTACAAGTCATCGTTAAATGTGCATTTGCGCTTCGACACAGGCTGACTGACTGTTTGTGTCTGCTCGCTCCTTCTGAGTGCAGAGAGCTACATGTACAAACCCGTTTGTCCCCGGACATGGACGTTTGGTCACCCTACGCTACGCACAGCAACCTACATTCGGTTTGTTGATTAAAATGAATGAAATCGATGAAATTCTTAATGATCAATTACCGATTAATCGACTAATCAGCCAATCAGTGAAGAGTCATATATTCAGTATTGTCAACGATTCCCGGGATCGAGGATTTAAAGCCAGAACAAAGAGAATGTTCTGTGAATTTTATCAAAAGGAAAGATGTTATTGCTCTTCTTCCTACGGGATTTGAAAAAAGCTTAATATACCAGTTAGCCCCGTTAGCACTGCATTACATACATCATGACGAAATAGCAGCGACGGTTAAAATTTTAAAAAGTACCCGTCTACTGTCGAGCGAACGAATCCTAATGCTGCGAGGTCAGACAGTTTCCACGAAGTGAAACCGGCTGATGAATCAGGCTAGTGTTTTGACCCGTGTTATACATTTTTAGTGTGACCACGCCAAAAACATTTCCCCTTCTAGTTGACTTTATATATCTGTCATGAGAAAGAACTTCCTCTTGGGGATAAAAAAAACAAAACAAGCTATTCTGGAGCTGTTCCATATTCTATAGTTGGCTCAGTGATGTGTCCTGCCCGAGACCTTTTCACATACAAGGTTGTGGGCTAGATGTCTTTGTTACTTATGACGCACGATATTTCTCTGTAACAAATGTTGAAGGTCTATATAACTGTGTCATATGTGTTTTCATGTGTGGCTGAATGTTTATTTTTACAGTTTATTTTTATATTCACCAAGGCCCTCATTTTACATTTCATACATATATATATTTGTGTCCCCAGATATGTCAGCATCATAAAATCAACTGGAATGTTTCACGGTATGGCATTAAAACTTTTTATCTTCATGGAGACCAAACCAGACCAAGCTACAGGTGAGGCGACCCCGCTCACAGTCAAAATGTTTGTTTTTCTAAGTATTTTTGAGCTATAAAACGACCTGTAATTGAATAAATGTAAAGTAGAGCTGTTTAATGTGGGACACTGGGATGCAGGGACACGAGGAAACAGGGACGCATGGACACATTCACACAGGGGCACAGGGTCACAGGGACACGAGGGACACAAGTCACAGGGAAACAGGGACACAAGTCACAGGGACACGGAGTCACAGGGACACGGAGTCACAGGGACACGGAGTCACAGGGTCACAGGGACATAAGGACACAGGGACACATTGGGTACAGGGACACAGGGACACAAGTCACAGGGTCACGGGGTTACAGGGGCACAGAGACACATCGTCACAGGGGCACAGGGGCACAGGGTCACAGGGACACAGAGACACAGGGGCACAGGGTCACAGGGTCACAGGGGCAGAGTAACAGAGTAACAGGGTCACAGGGACACAGAGACACAGAGACACAGGGACACAGGGACACGGGCTCACAGGGACACGGGGTCACAGGGGCACAGGGTCACAGGGGCAGAGTAACAGAGTAACAGGGTCACAGGGACACAGAGACACAGAGACACAGGGACACAGGGACACGGGCTCACAGGGACACGGGGTCACAGAGACATAGGGACACAGGGGCAGAGTAACAGGGTCACAGGGGCACAGGGACACAGGGACACAGGGGCACAGGGGCACAGGGGCACAGGGGCACAGGGACACAGGGGCACAGGGGCACAGGGGCAGAGTAACAGGGACACAGGGGCACAGGGACAGAGGGACACAGGGTCACAGGGGCACAGGGTCACAGGGACACAGGGACACAGGGGCACAGGGGCACAGGGGCAGAGTAACAGGGTCACAGGGACACAGGGGCACATGGGCAGAGTAACAGGGTCACAGGGTCACAGGGGCACAGGTACATAAGGTCACAGGGTCACAGAGACACAGGGGCACAGGGGCACATGGCCACACGGACAGAGGGTCACAGAGTATCAGGGACACAGTGACGCAGAGACCCAGGGAAACAGAGACACAGAGTCTCTGGGCCTCTGGGACACAGGGACACAGGGGCACAGAGTAACAAGGACACAGAATAATAGGGACACAGGGACACAAAGTAATAGGTACACAGGTACACAGGTGCACAGGGACACAGAGACACAGAGCCTCTGGGCCACAGGGCCACAGGGCCACAGGGCCACAGGGCCACAGGGTCACTGGGACACTGGGACACTGGGACACAGGGCGATGCAGCGCTGATGTTGTGAAATCAGTGAAATCAATTGAAATGTTTGGTCTGTGTTTAATATCATAGTTTGTTTTCATTCATTAAAGATTTTCCTCAGTGGCCAATGGGTTCAATATGACAATAGTATCACCAAATACATTCTTTTTTCAGTTTTGACTATTTTCTGTAGTTTGCAGAACATTTTTAGTGGAGAAGAGAAAAAAAGTACTATTTTGGTCACTGTTGATTATAATGATATATGGTCTTTTGGTTCTCCAGTCACTTATTGTCCAATCACAAAACAGAAAAAGTCTCACACGAGTCTCTCATTTGTGTTGCCAGTTTCAGTGCTGTAATCCAGTAGGTTTAAACTTAAAATGCTTCTCTGATCTGAACTCCCTAAACCTCAGAACCTCCAGATAATCATGAGACAGTGCTACTTTCACATGAGGCCTCTCCTTAAACGGAGACAGATATTGTATTGTCAGGTTCAGTTGTGTACCTTTTTAAACCAGTTAGACAGCAGGTCACATGGGTGTTGTTTTTTTATGTCTCACGACGCACGTTGAGCTACTCCACCATTAAATAATAACAAGAGATGCCATTTTGACATCTGACCAGTGAACAGAGCTCTTCAAAAAATGAATTTAATGTCACCGTGACATGTCCTCTCACCTTGTTCCCCAGAAGCATGACCACCACATCTTGCTGGGCGTACTCGTGGATTTCTGTGAGCCACGCCTGGAGCCCGCCATCCACGCCAGCCCCGAGACGGATTAGAAGAGATGGATGGAACAAAGAGAAGAAAGAAAGAGAGAGAAAGCAGAGTCATTTAGTGTGCACCCATTTGATTTGAGCGGAGCCTGGTGCTTTGTGCTCCTCTCCTCTTCACCTTTCACTGCTGCTCTATCTGTCTTGAGCCAATTAAAGGCCCCGGCACTCTCTCCCTCTCTCTGCTACCTCCGCTGGATCAAAAGAGGGTACAGTCTCTGGAGGCCAAACGCACAAACACACAAACAAACACACAAGAGTCATAGGAGACGCTCTGGCCATCCTCAGTCCTTAATGATGAGTGGTGACAATAGCAGTACTCAAGGAAAGTACACGATAATTCCAGCTGGGGAAGTACACATTCTACGATACAAGCGCCCGACAGCTGACTTCATTTAAAGGTGCATTGGGTAACTTGCCGTCAAATGCGTCAAATGCTTTTCTCCGTGGAGATTTTGTTGCTTCGTCTGGAATGTTTCACAGCATGGCATCAAAGCTTTCTGTTTTTCATGAGACCAAACCAGACCACGTTACAGGTTAGATCTGTTGAGAGGCGACCGCACTCACAGTCAGAATGTTGTTTTTCTAGGTATTTTTGAGCTATAAAACCACCTGTAATTGAATAAATGTAATGCAGAGCTGTTTAATGTCACACTGTGGAACATTCCAATCAGAGCAATGACATATCCATGGACAGAAGCAACAGAAAAGTTACATAGTGCACCGTTAAGATAATTTAAAGGTCTAGAAAGCAGTTATTAAAAGACATGCAAACTGCAGTTATGACGTTTGTAATCAGAGGGACCAGGGTCAGAAAGAAGAGTGATTCCAAAAACTTAGAAGCTAGTGTAATATTAGATCTATCCATCCATCTGTATATGAGTATAGTATAGATCAACAATGTTTTGTGATGTATGCGGCATTACAGTTGATACTGCATGATACAGAAATGTGAAATTAAAATTAATATAACTGACTCTTGCAATTTTCCACCAAAAAGTCTTACAAATTAAAGTTTTACAAGTACAAATAATTGCAAGAAATGTATTCAGATTTTTTTTATTGTTCCTAGTACTAAAAATAATGACAAAATTTATAGTGTGCTTTTTTCAGATCTATGTTATAATGTTGTTTTCTCATCGCAAACAGACCTGGAGTTGTGTTTTGTTTCATTCACATGCATATTTAGTAAGAAGTTGCCAATACAATACAAGCCTTGATACATAGGCCACAGTATAATACATATATTAATACAGTGAGCTTTCGATTTGATACAATTTATTTCAAATCGATTCAATTCAATAAAAAATAATGTCTAAATCATGACTGACACTAAAAGTCTTTGGTTAAACCACTTCTTGTGTAAAGTTGATATAAAACACACCCATTTTAATCACCAAAACAGTGAATGTGTCAAATGTGTTGCATGAATGAGTTTCCTTCCTCTAAACTAGGCATGTCCAAACTATGGCCCGGGGGCCAAATGCGGCCCTCAGACAATTTTTTTCTTGGCCCTCAGACTTCCAGGTGAAATGGCCCAAATTACCTTACATCAAATATTTTTTATTTTTTTTTTTTACTGCAAGTTTTCTGAAAATCTACCTTGCTAAAAGCTAATATTTAATATTTAGTGTGTGATTTTAAGGATCTTAGCATGAATAAAGACTGATGGTTTGTTCTAATGTGTTAAACATGCACAAATTTCATTTATTCACTGTACTGAGCTCCAGTCTACGGCCCTCTGCTTCATCTGTGTTTAGATATGTGGCCCTTGATGAAAAAAGTTTGAACACCCCTGCTCTAAATAAACAACAATACTGTAGCACTGTGACAAAATAATTTAGTAACATATAAAAAAAAATACTCATGGCGACATATCGATACAGAAGCCCACGATATTTATACTGTATCATCACATTAAACGATACAATATATGTCTACTGATATTGTCATATTTTTGCACACCCCTAATATTTATGGTGAGTTCTTTTCTCAAATGGAAAATGCTCAACTCCACCTTGTGATGTCATGCAGTAATACAGAAAGTGCTCCACTGTGTTTTTAAACTCCATACACCTTCATTAGTATCATTTGGATCATTTCAGCTGTGGCATTTCCAATCTCTACTAAACAAAAGCTAAAAATGTACGGTAGATGTTAACTTGAAAATGACCACTACATGACATCATAAAGTGGAACACTCAAACATGTGAAAGAAACAAAATACAACTCCAGTTCTGTTTTTGAGGAGGTAACAACATTCTAACATGACTTAAAGCTCACAAGAGTAAATTTTGAGTGATATAGGATCTTTGAAAGACTATAAATATAGTCTATAGAACAAATTATAGGCTTTGTTAGCAGCCAGATTTGAAAAACCTCTCACAAACGCCAAAATCGCTCCACTCTTAGGTCAAACATCATTACTAAAATATCAAAAGCAGGAACTGTTCTCTTCAAAGGATGTTCCAACCTGGCTTTGGACTGAAAAAAGTCTTATGAAACACTCCCATTTAACATGCTCTTTGTAGACAAAAGTTCAGCGCCTTCGCAGTCCTTAAAAGTTCAAGGAAGTTTGCGAGAGATGAACCGAACGAGGACACAGTGACCAATCACAGGCTCAGTGCAGCTGGCAATCGTCGCCGAGAGACTGAGGGAGAATGGGGAGGTGCAATGACCCAAGATACAAAAGTGAAAGGGTGTAATTTCAGTGGAGGTCTACACTGCTTTGGAATAGCTGGTTCTGCTTTCAGGTGTAGTGTTGTCACGATACTAAAGGTTCAAACTCGATACTCAATAATGATACAGATACTGCAATGATAATAATAATAATCATTTTAAAAACACTCTTTCTTTAGACTATAGAACAGGATTTCAACATTAAAGAAGAACTATGTAATGTATTGGTTGGGGGTCCATCACCTGCTTGTTTCTATGGATATTAGGGCTGGGTGATATGGAGCAAAACATATATCTCGATAAACGATATATATCTCGATATATGTACAGGAAAAAAAACAAAAATCTCGAAACTACTGCAAAAAAAATATGCCAAATTCCAATTCTTTTTCTAGAGGTAGGCAGTTCATGTAGAAACAAAGTGCTTCTGCGACATTTAAAAAAATCCCTGTATACAAAAATAATAATTTAACTCTAAAATAAAGGAAGAAATAATACATATTGCCTTCTTGTCATTCAAAAATAAAACAACTCAACTCAAGCTCATCTTTCCATTAACCATTAACCATTGTTAACTGTACAATAACCAGAACCATGAGCTCCTTTAGCAGAGGAAGTTCGGGAGGTTCCTTATTTGAATAGATCCATGCTCCTCACCAGTGTAATGAGCTGTGAGGTCTCCCACAATCCACTGCCTATCAAACCAAACATTTCCACACACTATTGTACAAGTTCTACACTGCAGCAGATTATTAATTTAAATCTTCTACATAAATAAACTTTACATTACTAAACTTTACAACATATAAACATCACCACTATAGAACAACACCAGCCCGTTTGACATTATAATGTGTTTAATGCAGCTTTGTGCACATTTGTTTACATTTTACACAAACAAAACTTAAAACCACATGGCTTATTTGCATAAACTGTAAGTGCTGAAAAAAAACAACAAAAAAACAGCTCTTTCCTTGTGCGCTGATGCGGTTCAGCTTCAGTCGGACTACAGGGCACGACTCAGTGGAATATGAGTGTTCTCTCTGTAACAGAGGGTGTGCTGCTGGTGGTGAGTCTGTAAATGGTGGAAAAGGTTTGTGGTGCTAGAAGCTTTTGATTGGCACCAGCTTTTAGCATTCAGGGCAGTAGAAAGAAGTGAATAAGACACACGTGAGGGGAGGGGTCACAAAATCAAAGAGGCGGGGGCGAGCGAGCGCAGCAAAGAGAAGTCAAACGAGCAAAGTGGCGAAATCAGAATTAACTATCAGCAATATATTGATATATACAATATGTCAGAATCTATTCCGTGTTCAAAAAATATCTAAATATATATTTAAAATATTGAGATATCGATCACCCCTATGTCTGTGCTCTGCCTGGAATGTTCCACAGTATGACATTAAACAGCTCTACTTTACATTTATAATATTATAAGTGGTTTTAAGGCTCAAAAATAACTAGAAAAACAGGCATTCTGACTGTGAGTAGGGACGCCTCTCCACAGATCTGACCTTGTAACTTAGTCTGGTTTGATCTCCATGAAGATACAGCTCAAGATCATTCTAAAACTATTCAGGAATGCGTCATCTTTAGGCTTTTGGTCTTTTTGGTGCTAAATGTGTTTAAAGAGCCAGTATTACACACTATTTTCTGATCTATGTTGTTTCCTCATCATAAACATACCAGGAATCATGTTTTGTTTCATTCACATATGTTTAACACATGAATCCTGCATATTTAAAGTTCTTCTCTCTGAAAACACTCTATTTGACCTTGTGATGTCATGCGGTAATACAGGAAGTGCTCCATTGTGTTCCACTCAGCCCTGGAATTTCCAATCTCCGCTGAACTAAAGATAAAAGTTAGCTGTTAACTTGAAAACTACTGCTTCATGACATCACCAGGTGGAACACAGCATTTTGAGCTTTGGAGATGTAAACAGACTAATAATGCAGGATTACTCAAAATAAATAAAACAAAACTCCAGGTACGTTTTTGATGAAGTAACAACAGTCTAACACGTCTTAAAGCTCACAAGAGTCTGTTTTGCATAATATAAGACTTTTAAGATGTACTTTTGTCATACCTGTTTCGCAATTTTCTTCATTTTTCTTTATTTTTTTAGCTTCTTGTATCCTTAACCAACCCAAAGTGACTACACAGCCAATCTGCCATTAACAGCTACTTGTGTGAAATAAAAGACTAAAACAATACAGCATTGACTGAAGCAGCTCCACAATGAAAACAACAGTGTGACTATTAAGATTTGTGAAGGCTTTTTGTGCTTGGCA